TTGCAATGAACATTCAATCTCATGTGACACAAGTTTACTTTTCACTGGATCCTTACAGTTTCAAATAGGAATCTTACGAGTAAAGAATAAATATTATCAGTGACCTCCATTTTTTCAGTGCTTATGATCCTACATAAAGTCATGGGGCCCAAATCATAAGGCATTTCAACCACTTTGAGAAGTGACAGTGTTACTTTATTTGTATTATTTAACCCCTTGATTTAAGGAAATCTTTTTAAAAATGTACATAACCACAGTCAATAACATAATTATGTGGATAACACACTATTTCCTATACAGTTCAGAAGGATCTGGAATTGACTTGTATTATGTGTATTATAAAATCATGTGCGTATCAATTTAATTATTGCGGGGGTGATCCATGCCATAACAAGTCCTTCTTGTAGTTTTCTTAGATTAAGAAAGTCCCAATAAGAAAGCCTATATTTCTTGTTCTTGCTTGGAACACAAGCTTTTCAAACAGCAAACCAAAAATAAACTTTAATGAAACCAAAATCTGGTTTCCACTGAAATCTTGAATGTGAGCCTAATCTTTAAAGGAACAGCATTATTTACCTAATGCTATGGCTTTTGGGCAGGATGGGCCTCTTCTGACAGATAATGATTTCCTTCCTCCAGTGTTGAACTGCTCTAAACTTTCTACAGGATGATTCTCCAGCTTGAACTTCCCTTTTAGCTAAGTCTATTTGCTTTGTCTCAAGAGCTTGTTTGGAGGTTCTAGCAGGGGAGTGCAACTACCGTATACCCGGGACCAATGAATGGTACCGCCTGTATTGGGGAAGGTTGTCCTCTTCGACCGAGCGCAAAGCTTTGGGAGGGACGCACGTGGAGCGGTGAGGGAGGAAGGGCACACCCGCCTAGCCAGCCAGATCAGCCGAATCAACCCTGGCGATCAAAGGGGTGACAGATGTTGCAGACAGATCGCCCTCACATCATTGTCGGAGCAATCCCAGGCACAGCTACAGGTTGGGCAGAGAAGAGATTCAGAGCAGCCCTGTGGAGAAGGACTTGGGGGTGTTGGTTGATGAGAAAATGAACATGAGCCGGATTCAGCGTGCACTTGCAGCCCAGAAAGCCAACCATATCCTGGGCTGCATCAAAAGGGGTGTCGTGGTTTAAACCCAGTCAGGCAACTCGTTCACTCACTTCCCCCCCTTTCTTGCGCTCCCCCTGCTCCCGGAGGGACGGAGAGGAGAATCAAAAAGAATGCAACTCCCACGGGTTGAGATAAGAACAGTTTAGTAACTAAGGTATAACACAAATCACTACTGCTACCACCAGTGATAATAATGATAAAAGAAATAACAAGGGAAGAGAATACAACACCTCAGCACCAGCCAACCGATAACTCGACCCCCCAGCCCCGACCAAGCTCTGACCGATACCTCCTCCAACCCTGCAGTCTCTCCCAGCCCTTCCGGGTAACTCCCAGTTACCTCCCGGGCATGACGTGCTGTGGTATGGAATACCTCTTTGGTCAGTTTGGGTCAGGTGTCCTGTCTCTGCTTCCTCCTGGCTTCCCCTCCTCCCTGGCAGAGCATGAGGCTCACAAAGTCCTTGGCCAAACCAAAACATCCTTGTTAGCAGCTCTGTTCCAGAGCTGAAAGTCAAAACACTGCACTGCACCAGCTACCAAGAAGGGGAAAAAATGACTGCTACTGCTGAACCCAGGACAAGGGGTGTGACCAGCAGGTCGAAGGAGGTGATCCTGCCCCTCTACTCTGCTCTTGTGAGACCTCACTTGGAGTATTGTGTGCAATTCTGGTGTCCTCAACATAAAAAGGGCATGGAACTGTTGGAACAAGTACAGAGAAGGGCCACGAGCATGATCAGGGGACTGGAGCACCTCCCGTATGAAGACAGGATGAGAAAGTTGGGGCTGTTCAGCCTGGAGAAGAGAAGGCTGCATGGAGACCTCATAGCAGCCTTCCAGTATCTGAAGGGGGCCTGTAAGGATGCTGGAGAGGGACTCTTCATTAGAGACTGTAGTGACAGGACAAGGGGTAATGGGTTAAAACTGAAACAAGGGAAGTTTAGATTGGATATAAGAAGGAAATTCTTTCCTGTGAGGGTGGTGAGGCACTGGAATAGGTTGCCTAGGGAGGTTGTGAATGCTCCATCCCTGGCAGTGTTCAAGGCCAGGTTGGGCGAGGCCTTGGGTGACATGATTTAGTGTGAGGTGTCCCTGCCCATGGCAGGGGGGTTGGAACTTGATGATCTTAAGGTCCTCTCCAACCCTAACTATTCTATGATTCTGTGATTTTAAGAGATGTTGACAGTTTTCAGCTCCAGAAGTCCAGATGGTTCAATGAAAGTGAAGGATAATACCACATGACTTAGATTATTAATTTTTATCCCCCCCCCAGTACAAAAAGCAACAGCTTAATGTCAGGTCAAATTTATAATTCAAACTGAGAGGGACAGTAAATAAGAAAAGTTATGCTCATACTCTGAAGCAGACAGTAAACAGGAAGAGAACAGGTCAAGTAAAAATATATAGGATGCAAAAAGATAAAACCTAAAACATCTTTAAAATAAGTAACTTTGCCCCATGGTTTATGTGGAAGGCCATTATTATGAACTGGATGAAACTTAAACTTGAATGTTCTCTGACTCATATAGAGACAGTCTCAGAAATTCAGAGGATACAAAAAAAAGATCTTCAGAGCAAAAATTAACCTTAATGAAAAATATTTAATTTATTTCAAGCAGGCATCCTTTAAGCAGTTATTTATTCAGCTCTTTTTATTCTTCCACAAGCTCTGTGCTAATTCACTGCTGGCATCTGCTGGGCAAACCTTTCAGACTATTACCACTACAGAGGCAGAATTAATTTCTTGCTCCTGAACAGCACTTTTTCAGCTTTCACTTTCATCATAGGGTTCCTAGCCCTCTTGCTTTCACATAGAAGAGAGGCCATACAGGACAGGTTGATCATCTGGTGACTGCTCTGATATCTAGCCCAGGCTTTCTGAATGGTTTAAGGCTCTAGATTTAGCCTCATGAAGCAGACAATTATTGTAGTGACAGCCCAGAAGAATGCAAAATATCTCCTGAATCTCTTACATATCACCCTGATCTTGCCACTGCCTTCTCTGCATCTTTCCTTTGGACCACCTTAAACACAAGCATTTCAGCAGTGAACTACAGCTGCACGAAAACACAACTGCACCTCTTCAGCAGTCACCAAGAACACATTCACTTATGACATTACTCATTTCACTGACTTCAGACAAACTTTAAGGCCAGTCTATCAGCTCACATGATGTTCCACTCTGCAGAAGTGGCTCCAAGTATCTCAGTAGCATTTTTATCTTTTCAGTGCGAGCTTTTCCTAGCAGCCACAACCATGAGAAACTAAAGAAAGAATAGGAAATAAGGCTCTCAGTTACTCAGTTTGAACCCTCCACTATAGGACATGAGACTAAGCACACTTCTGCTTGCTTTCAAAAAAAAAGCACAAAGAGAACTCTGAGCGCACTTTCCCACAGCTGCAAACAAAACCCACAGAAAAGAAGAGGAAATAAAGATATTTTTGGAACATAGGAATGTAACACTCTTCAGAAAAATAGTTGTGTTTCAGCTCATCTAGCCATTCCTATTTACAAAAATGACTAACATTTCAGAATCCTGTACAGTATTTGACCTTGAAGACATATTTCTGCAATTAAGACCACAAAAAATTAACGTCACATACACATGAATGCTGCAGTTCTCAAGAAAGACCCACAGATGGGCAGAGAATATTGAAATCTCTGCAACTTATTCTGGAACAGCTCTTACAAAAGTGAATCAGCTTCCTTGTACAAAATCCTTCTGGCAATTTCACTTCAAACAGATACAGTGTTCCTTTATGGAGCTTTTTTTCTGCTCTGCATTTGTAAGACTTTTTAAATACACTGCCCTCAGCAATGCTTACAAATTAGCTGACACTTATCAAAACTATTGCTGTTGTTTTGATTTAGGAGAGTTACTTTGCTTCCAAGGAGAGTTTCATAGAACATTTGACCATGAAAATATGTTAGGAGTATAAATTAAAATATTACAGGGTGCCAACAAAGATCTGTGGGGCCTGTTTGACAGACACAGGGACTAAAAACATATTGGACTTTTTAAATTGAATTTTCAATTAATGATAATTTGAAAATCACAGTTGTTTAAATAAACTAAATGTGTTTAATTTCTGAAAATGTCAAGACTTGGTACTACATTTACACCAAAATATTTGTGTTCTAAAATTAAATGGAACTTCAGCACTGAAGCATCAGTCATTTTGTAGAAATATCTGTATGTAAAATAACATTTGAAAATGCACACTCAGCTTCATGGAAATTCTTAGAACCTATCAACTTCAGTGAGACTGAAATCAGTGTACAAGTCAACAGAATCAGATCCTACCTCTGCGCTATAGACAAAAAGTTGTGAGAGAGCATATAGCAGTGAGGCATTAACTGCATACAGGTCCTAAAGGTGTTGAGCTTTCCTACTTTGCCAGATCTTCCTGTGAGGACTAAGCATTTTGGACAGCACTTGTAGTCAGGGAAGGCGAGAACTATGTAAGATTCCCCAGAGAAACAAGTTGGAATTTTCTCAGTGCCTCCAGCTCCTCCTGCATGACATGGCTCTCTGCCTTCTGGAGAAAAGCAGCTTTGTTAGCTCTCTTAGTCTTAGATCTTCACTTCCAGCTTCCCTTAAATTCTGGATATCCAGAGAAACATTCAGTCAAAAGTAATTTTTGGCATATCGCAGAAAACTGAAGTTCATCTCCAAATGTATTGGGCCATAGCTTCTGACCTGCACAACCTTAAAAAAAATGTAAAAGTGTTAACTTGCATGGACTTGGGCACTAACAAACAGTAAATCCTGCTCCAGGGCATGTGACAAACCATCAGGTTTCACTAATGGCAGTTGAAAATACACATAAACTGAGATCTCATGTTCAATTTCTAAATGAAATGCCAAAGGTACCACAAATATACTCTTTCCCTTGTCTCCAGGGAGCGGTGACTGAATCCCCAGTTCTGGCAGCCAACAAACAACATTCTAGAAGAAATGAAAAGAGAAAGTAAAAACTGTCATTAAAATGAGACTATAGTCACAAGTGCAGTTTAGCACAAATCTGCCTAAAAAGACCCCAGCACTACAGTAGACCAATCATTCTAAATTTTCAATATTTATAGGTATCTACTTAAGGTGGCTTGCTATCAATCAAGTAGGAAATTTTATGCTAGCAGAGGTATCCTCAACAAATATGAATACCTAATACTCAGTGGTATTGCACTCTGGAGTATAAATGGAGTATACACTCCATACACTCTGGAGTATACACTTCTATAAGCTGGCAAATAACAATAATCAGCATGACTACCCTTTTCTTGGAACTCGGCTCCCTCTATAACACTGTAACTTTGATGAAAGATCTAACCTGAAAATTCACAGTGACTGGTTTCTAATTATTTACCTTTTTCCCTTGCACACTGTTATTTTTTTTGTAAATTTAAGACTCAGAATGTGTGAACACACCTCTAATCATCCACAGAGCAACTTACTCCATTGGATCCTGGATCCTCAATGTTTGCTTGATATTCAAAATCAGTTTTTGTAGCTGATCAGAAATTCTAACAGTGGTACAGGAGTTGCAGCCTGAGTCCCAAAGCAGAAATTCAGATTATGGTAATACAGAAAGAATGCATTTTGATTTAGCATGCATTCTTGTCTGATTGAAACTCAGAGACTGAAATATAACCCATATGAATGGATTTCTAAAGCCTACTCTAATTTTTCAACTGATTAGTAATTCATGCATTTTGATCAAGTTTTCACTCTCTAGTAATTCTTTAAAGCATATCATTGAAAGTGATCTGCATAAGAAGCTAAGATGAGACAGATTCAAACCAATTCAGTAGCTTTGTTTATAGGGCAGCTGCCAAGATTTGAGTCACAAAGTCAGCCTGTGACATGCCCGCTTGTATAACTTGTATTCTTTGGCAGTATTTGAGGGTTTTGCATATCTGTTGTTTGATACATAACTCTACTCACATATCACAAAAATGAAATGGAGTGATAAATTTGTGTAAAATTAGTTTTAAAACTGTACTCATTAAATCGAGCAGATACCAGTGTAGGTTTTTTACATCCTGCACCACCCTTTTACTTAGTGGCCAATGAAAGGGGAAAAACCTGAAGCTGGTAAAAAGCAAACTCTTGCCATATATCACTCTTTTGATTAAAAGAAAAGCATTAAAATCCACCAGGATCCTGCATCATGTCTGATAGCAGAAGTTGGTAGATAAACTAAAATAACAAAATCAATTCATCACAAGTATCATCGGCTTTAGCAAGCTGCATACCAACAGCCACTTCTGTGCAGAGGGAAAACACATTCTACCTGTCTTGCGCATTCTTTCCAAGTACTTAGCTGAATTAGGAAAAAGACAGGGGAAAGGGTGGTAAACTTCACGCATGTTTGTTTGCTTTTTAAGCCAAAGTTGGAAGTAATACCAAAGTACTTGGTCTCCAACATTCAGAGATCTGTTCCACTATTTTCCTGCAGATTTCATCCTCGGGGAGTTGTTTCCTAACTAAATGGCTCAAGATCAAAAAAGAAAAAAAGTTTTGAGAGTTGATTTGCTCTACGTCCTTTAATATCAAGCAAATGGTTGTTAGGCTTTTTAAACCATTACCTTATAGTTTCATAGACAGCATATCAGTTCTGGATTAAAAGAGTTTCTAGTCACCAACTGTTACTTTTTCCCTCATAAAACAGAGGTTTATTTAGTGGAACAACCAACTCTTATCAATTTGATGACTTTGGCATCCTCATTAGGTGGTATAATACAATCCAATTTCATATCAGATTTTAAAGCTTGTCAGAGCTTGCTTAGCTGTTCCTATTTATCTTTCTCTGGAAAAGAAAGGAAATGCTTTGTTTGCTTTCTTGTCTTACTTTGCCTTTGAGGATTCCAGTAGGCCAGTTGGAAATCCAGAATATTAATTAGCTTGTATACCATTACGTCTACATGATCTGGAGGAAACAGATTTTTCTGGGTTTCCTGTTCTAAATGATGTGGGTTAGAGTCAGATAGAACATTTGATAGTTGAGGACTGGGGCCTCTTTATGTACAATCAGTTCTTCCTTATCTAGTAAAGCATTGTTTTTAATTTCATGTGCTGTTAGTGCGAGGTTGAACTTTTAAAATATTTTAAAGATATTTTAAAAATATTTTAAAAATAAAAATTATTTTTTATATATTTGAGCCCTCCACACCTGCAACTTCATGCCTTTACACTTTGAGATAGGGTGTCCAATGGTCAAGGATGAGAAGGGGTAGTAGTCATTAAGGAAGTATCCAACATTTCAAAGGGCTTCCTAAGCAGCAATACACTCCTACATTAAGGGAACTGCAGACTTGACAGACTGGAATGAAGTAGTATAACCTGAATGCCTGTATACTCTCCAATATCAACTTTGCCCAGGAGATCTGCGGACATTATTGTGCCTGCCTGCCTTTCCCTTTCTTGGTCTATGTACTGGCAGGAATCGATCAGCTAATCTGGAGTACACAAGTACATCCTTGGCTGGTCTTAATTCCACGGTGTGCAAATCATGGCAAAAACAGAGCTGCAAGCTTAGAAAGCAAGCAGGGAAAATGGACTGAAATGCTGCAACATTTTCTGAGACAATATTTTTTGGCTTTGCCAAAGCAGACAGTTTTCAAGATGGAAGTCAAATTAAATAGGATTACTTTAGTAAGGTAGGCTTCCTCACATAAAAAGATCAAATTCCTTATTAGTAAAATATTCTTATATCTCTGATTTCTCTTTAATCTTTTATTTCTCAAAAGATGCTGTTGGCTGGGCTAGCATCATGTTCAAAAAGCTTTTAATATTTTCAAGCATTAAAGGGAAAAGTAGGAGTTCCATTTTATCCAAAAGATAAAAAATGCTTCATATATGGAATTTTATTTTCAGTGATAAACACAATCCTGATTTGGTTGTTTTGTTGTTTTTTTTTTGTCTATTTGAGACTAGGGGTACCTAGAAGCACTTACATTATTTTTCTTGGCAGGTAGGGAAGCTCAAGGAAAAGCACTTCTATTTCAGAGATAATTTGTGCTGTTACAGCATTTCCAGCATTACTTGCCTCAGCTCATATCATTTATTCTTAAGAATCCGTGACCTGTTTGGAACTGAAACTCACTTTGAGCTGCATAACTAAGTGCTGTGACTACCCTATTGTGTAGGTGTAGCAATTCTATTTTTTAACTGATACTCAAATACGATTTCTGTTTTCTCATGAACACTAGTTGTCATACATTTATCATACTGCATTGCAAACAAATTAGGCTTCAAGGTACAACATATTTTAGAAGGAAAGAAAATACATTTTAGAAGGAAAGAAGGTCGGGGAAAGAGTCGAAAAATATTTCATTCTATTAATATTTAAAAACAGCTATGTAACAGAGCACACCTTATCTTCCTTATTCTCTTTTAAACACTTAAAGTAGCCAGCCAGGTTTTTGAAGGTGACATTGTATTATTATTCAGAAAAAAGGCTGAATTGCAATGTTTCTGCTATCATATGTGCAAATACATAGTAAGAACCATGTGACCTGTACCACAGATTGTGTAATTCATAAGTTTTTGAAAAAAAGAAACATTCTTTACATAGCTCGATGTGTTTGTTTATTGGTTTGGGTTTTCTTCTTTCCAGCTTACATCTAATAACTTTTAACTAAACAGGATCCATGAAAAAAAAATGGAACAGATGTATTCTGCCTTCTGTTTCTTGTGTAAAACAGGAGTAACACAAGTAAGGTTACTGAAAAGCTACAGCTTTGGTGGTCATGGTTAAATGCACAGATAGGGCTGAAATTTAGGATGGCAGGTAAAAAGGGAAAAGTGGCTCAAGAACCTGACTATAACCATATTGTCCCTGTTCCTTCACTGCCAGATGTTCATCATGGTCACATTACAGGCTTTCTCAATGAGCTGTTCCTGCAAACAAGCCAGCTGCTGACAGTGGTACAAATAATCCAACATAATCTCCACAGTCTTTTGTACCTCACAATATGTGTGACTCAGCTTTCAGAAGGCTGAGCCAGTTCATACAACTAGGGAGCACTAGCATCAGCACTAGAACGGGATCATGGAGGCACAAGGAGCCCACATCCTGACCACGCAGGAAGATATTTAGACATATATGACCAGGCTTGCATGTTCGGCTTTTCTTTCTTACACTTGGCCTGAGAAGAAAAGCTTACTGGATTAACTTTTAATAATATTTAATTTCCAAACCACAAAGGGTGCTTGCTAATGTAGAGCTGCTGGAATTTGGGGGGAATTAAATGGTACGTTTATAGTTTTCTCTATTTGCCTTCAGGTTTTTCCTCTGACTTAGCTGTCTGCCGCTAGTTTGTTATAAAAAATTATTCAATTTCTCTGCACTTGTATGCTTTGAATCATAGGATTCCATGTATCCTTGGTTTCCAAACAATTTGTGATTTCTGGCATGCTATGAAACCATTTTTTAATAAATATGACCATCCTGTCTCTCACTAGAAACCCTGCACCAGCCAATGCTACAGAAGAATATGAAAGGTCTGTGGACCAAACACCAAGAGAAAAACATTGCAAGTAAAATGTCTTGTGAAATTCCTACTTCCTGAGGCATTTCCATGTGAAATTTATTCTCAGCAGAAATAGTACAGCATAAAATCAGTAGCCTTAATTTAAGTAAAAAAGTTTGATGCAGAAAAAATACATTCATTACAAGATCTGACTTCCTGCTACAAGGTTTGCAGGCACTGCCTTCCTAGAGCCTGTGTGTGCGTATGTGTCTAAAGGTAGGGAAGACTGATGAAGTACTAAGTGGCTGATAGGCAGACGCAGACTGCCCTTTCTTTTGTTTTCTCCCAACAAACTCTTCTCAGCAAGAGACAAAACAAAAACATGAAAAATGGGGCAGGTAATTTTGAATCACACACCTTCTCCTCGTCTTTGCTAGACCACACGCAAGTGCATCTTTCATTCAGAAGTTTGTTGGAGTCCTTTACTCTGTCCTTGGTCTACCAAACCACTGACCTTGATCCTAAATCTTTTTCTCAAACTGCCTACACTGAAGAAAAGGAACTCTCAAAAGCTAACAGTACTCGGCAGCTTCTGGCTGGGATTAGCAAAGGGATTTAGAAATCAAACCAGAAAACAAAGACTGAATAATGAAGATCTCAAGAAACAAACCTGAAATTCCAAATAACAGAAAAAAATACAATCAAAATATTACACAATGTTTTCTGTTTTCATCTCTTACTCAGCTCTTGTTTGGACATAGCCCCTAAACATTTACATGACTAATACTGCAGCAAAACCAAAAATCTTTCTCAAAACACTTACCAAGAACCTCTCCCTCAAAAATACAGCTTTTGCTGAATAGGGGTTACGTAGATGAGCCTTTTCTAGGAAAAGCAGCCTAAAGGAAAAAAACAAGGTTTTTCACAAGAATCATGATGAAACTTGCAGTGATGATTTTATAATCCTTTGGCAAGTTTCTCAAAGGTAGCATCTTGGGCTAGTTTAGAAGACTCCCCACTGCTTCCAACAAGACCTTCAATATCTTAACTTTAAATTTACATTATAAGAGCTAGTAATAGTCAATCTTGACTTAAGGCTGTGTTGTAAGCTACTTTATCTTCTTTTAACATCAAGACCTCAATTACATTTTCCCCATAGAACCTGATAGGGTTAAAGTTCCAATATAGTCACTAAAAATTAATGAAAAATATGCATAAAATTTGCCACTTTTTTCTTTGAAAAACTATTTATAATTATGAAAAGAATTGACATGAAATATCACAAATGTAAGTTTTAAAACTTTTCCTTTAAACAAGTCCAAGTATATTGTTTTTAATTTAAATGCTTCAGCTTCAGTATTGTTTCCCTTGAGACGAAATTTGCCAACTTTTTTTTATATTCTGATCAACATAATGTCTAACCACTAATGAAATTAAACATGCATTATTTAATTTGCTTGCATGCTTTCCTCTAGAGTCCACTGTATGATTTCTGGAACGCTGATTACTTCAGACGTTTTCTTTGCACTATCCATAACCCTGCTGGGGATCCAGAAAGAGATAAATAAGTAAAATTGAATAAATTATAGAAAGCTCACTCTTGCAATCATCACATTCTGCACTGCTAACTTATGTTTTACTACAATTACCATTCTCACATTACTGAAGCATATTCTTTATTTTATATGCCCGATTGTGCCATCAAAAATGATTGCAATATATAGGGGAGGACCTGAAACAGGGAGAGTCCTACCTTCAAGAAGTCTATGAGCTTTTACTATTTTCTTGAATGGAGATATTTTGTATGGCAAGATTCATATGGGCTCTTGATATCCATGGGGTGTTGAAATAAACTTCTGGGTAGCTCTTTAACCACCTGTCCTTTTTAAAGAAAACAGTGCTTCGCTTTGCATCTAGCAAGCATTTAATTAGTGTTGGAAAGAAAAACAACCTTTTCTCTGGGAAATACTAAAAAAATAAACAACCTGCAAGACTACCACCAACCCCAACACCTTTCCCAGATACCACACAGATAATTATTTCACTCCAAGTGTGGTAATTTCATATACTAGGAGCTTTGATTTCTAGATTGAAAGAGTTCCTGTAATGTGCAAACTCTGCTTATCTCACCAAAACTTCATTTCTGTTTGTTCCGGAAGCTGCTTGTATGAATCTAAAATGAAGGCAACTGGTTTTCCCTCAGCGTGTAGTACAAACAAAGATTTGGAGAAGAATTAATTTAAATGCAGAATAAATAGTAATGAGAGAATATTTGCAGATAAAATTTAGTTTTTTCAAAACATTTCAGGAAAAATCAGTGAACTGCAGGAAAGATGCAACTGGAAAGTGAGATGGCCAGCAAGTGATAAATATGTATTTTTTGCTGAACATTATGCCAGTTTGAATATGATCAAATTAACCGTGAAATACAACATGAAAAACATGGAGTTGAGTCAAAAAACCACTAGCAAGATACTTAGCTAAATTTTAGCACAAAAAAATCAGTTGTTATAAGGAATATATTTACAGAAGGATTAAAGAGCATGTATATAATATACAAACATAAATGTTAATAAAGTCTCCTGAGAAAGCAGTGAAAGTTCTGTTTGTTGAACTCTAAATAAAAGCTGAAAATTACCTATTAATCATAGAAAATAACACATGTAGAGATAAACACATACACTATACATATAGAGATAATCATATACACTATTTGATCTGTATTGAAGAAGAAGGTAAAGTTCTGGAGATTAAATTGTTTTATTATCTCAGCAGGGTTAATTTGTTTCATATACGTGGTGTTTGTCTCTGGTTTTTAATCAGTCTAGACAGTTCATTATTAAAATGCCTACAGCTTGTGCATGTACTTCTGGATGTTGACATAATGGAAACAGAGTTTTTCTAAGCAATTCTGTGAACATATTGTTCAGGGCTTAAGAGCAGCATACCATGTTATTTGACTGTTAAGAAAGGAAGTTCTGTTAAGAAGTTAAGTAATTCCATCTCAGATGCTGGTCTATTAGTGGTAGCATCCTAAAAAAAAATTTAACAATTAAGAGTTATTAATTCATATACAAACAAGTCATTCATCCTTTCAAAAGCTTTTGCTGTGCCCAAACACAGGGGTACCTCCATCCTTTTGCTCAGACATGTATATGGCCTATCAGTATCTCCCACACACCATACCTGCAATCACCAGACTTCCTTTTTTTTTTTGTTCCTATAGTTAAAAAGGATCCAGGAGGAAAAATACTTCCTGCGTTTATGGCCACAAGTCACAATAGCTCTGAGCTATGTTCCTAATGACATATATTATCTGTCGCAATCTTGGCTTTCTTTTGTTTGCTGTGCTTTCTGGGAACACTTTGTATAATAATTATTCTAATTTTGTTCTTTTTTGCTTCCACATTGGAAAAAAAAAAAAAAAAGAGTAAGATTAATTAATTTACTCTGTGAGAAGCAAATGAAATAAACTAGGAAAATCTATTAATTTCAGTCACTGTAAACAGGGCAGATCCTGAACCCCAGAACTGACTACAGTCAGGCAGATGACGTACGTGGGAACATTCTGTAGCTGGTTACAGTCTTTGAGGGTTTTTTTATACAGGAGGAAAGGATCAACACTGTTATGAAATCCCAACAATTGGGACAGCACAGTCTTTTTTGCTCCTTCTACCTACAGGGTAAGAAAAGAAAACTCAGTTAAAAAGTTCATACCTGAACTGTGTTCATACACAGCTTCTCTTGCATGTTTTACAAAGTACTTCTCTGGCACACAGACTTTTCATTTAGTCTTTTGGGGTTCCTTTTCTCCATTTAAAATAAAAGCAATGTAGAGTGAAAATATTTCCCTCTGCTTTGTGCAAACAGTTAATGTTACTTACAAAGTACACAGAAACTATCAAACTGATAGCAGTCCCTATCACTGTCAGAAGAAAGCAGGCAGCGGTAACAAGATATCCCTATCCTGGAAAGCTGTGCCCACTATCTGACACTCATCCCTGCCTAGAAGCGACCTATCCTGAAAATAACTGTAAAAACCAAGAATAATCTTGCTACCTCTACAAAGGATCAGCCTGTTCTTTCCTCCTTTGGCTTTGATGCTACATAAAAATTCTTGACCTTTTGGTGTATTTCCAAAAAAACATCTAATTTCTCCATCACAGCCCAAGATCCCATCTCTTGCTCAATTCTATTGCCTAATGATAGAAGACCGTTCTTTTTCCCAGCCAAGACACACACACTTCTAATGCAAGACTGCCAGTGGTAGCAAACAGAAACAAACTGTACAAGGTTTCCACTCTACAACCACCCTCAAGCTCTGTCAATGAGGTTTGAATTATGCAGTGTGTTTGGTCATCATTAAAATTCAGGATAAAGTATTACACAACTTTCTACAGAAACGCATTAGCAATATCAAAGTAGTTTCCCTTATATTATCTACTTTAACAGTAACTGCCTACAGGACTTCAGTGAACCTAGTCCTGCTTCTCAGGACAATATAATAATTTGGTAAAGTCATTCTGACCTTCCTAAAATGCCTCTAATTTTTAAGGCATCCTGTGAAACCAGTCTAAAGAATGATTTTTTTTCCACAGCTCTGATAGTCTCCTTACCTTTAAGAAGTCACACCTTCAAAGTAATTTCAAATGTGAATTGAAAAACAAGATGGAAAAAGGACCTCTTTCAATATGAATGTTGAATGTTCCCACTGGGCAAACTGCAAAGAAAATTCAGCATAAAATAAGTTTAAAGAAGCTTTATAATAATATCAACCTTTGTAAACTCATTTAAATTTCTCCATCAAAAGCTTCAAAAATGTTATTCTCTGACAACTGAGGTCACAAAAGAAAAATTTCTTGTGAAAAAATACATAGCTTCTAAAGATAATGAAAAGTTACAATGAAAATACGGTTTTGTATTGAGTAGGAATTAAGTGACCTAGTAGGAGGATTTAGATGAAACTTGGGAGTGACTTTTCGTGTTGCAGTTCACCTTAATATCACCTTCTGTTCCTCTTGCTGCCAGGTATTATCACATCAGATAATTAGAGCACTAGTTTAGGATTTCAAAGTTAACCTTTTTTTCTTTATCTTTGGCATCCAGTCCTTCTATGTCATTCAAAAAAACTCAAAACACCTAGACAGACCTGCTGGATTAGATCATCCAGCATACCTCAGTACAGGCTGCTCTTTACAGAAAAGACTTGATGTAGTTTGTTCTATAAAATCCACCATGCTGGAACTTCCATAGTTTCTACCAAATGTCTCTTTTGTCATAGTTTCACTCTTAAGAAGCTTTCACATGTTCAATTCCTAATTTTATTTTATAGATTTCATCCTGTTGTATTGGCTACTAGTTCAGTGGACTATACTAAATAATTCCTCCTATCCTTTGTATCTGCACATGAAAAACATAAGCAAGTACAAGCTGATGTTTGCTTTCTTTTTTATCTGTTGTTTTTCTTTCACTTTTCTGACCTAATAATCAATATCAGGACAGAAACAAAGGCCATGTCGCAGCTGAGTGTGAAAGAAGAGGGACAGTGAAGACAGAGGCCACCAAGTGCTCACAGAGTAAAGAGAAATAGCTCACAGTTATTATGAAATACACTGGGAGCCAGCACAGAGATGCAAACTTCCAAAATAGGTTGCACTGCCAACTATTCTGTTTAATGAATAATTAGTAACTGACTAATCTACTTTAAATTTCCAAATAAAAAACGTGAAGACTTACTACACAACAGAAAGAGGGGAAGTATGTTTACATTCTTTTCATGTAGCAATACCATTTTATGTCCAGTGTGCATGCAGAGTTAGATTAATAAAAATAGACCATATCAAAAGAAATTGAACAAAACTGCTCAGTCTTTCTGGATGTTGGATATCTGCATTATTTTGATTAATTCAGGATCCCTGCAAAGGAGAGTCTTACTATGAATCACCTTGAGTTTGGTGGCTTTCACAAGGACACAGGAATGTTCCTACTTCAAAACATGCATTTAATTTGAAGGAATTAATCAACTGTTTAGAGTAGAACAAAAATGCAATAGACTCCACCTGCTTGAGAGCTCAATACTAAACTGTCCTGTAGCTTTTTGATTATTTCTTTACCTTACTAAGAACTTGAAATAGCTTCAGCATAAAGACAACTTTCCAACTTCTTCTTTCCCTTCTCTTCTCACTCCATGTTCAAAATATGGACTGCTTTGTGCATGTGTGTATTGCTAACTGTTGTCTAAGATATGTTCAGGAATCCTAAACTAATTACACTTTTTCACACTAAATTATTCAAGCTGCAACCTTTCCACAAAGTAAGGTTTCTACTATTGCACATTAGTATAATGCTATCTGCAAACCCTGTTATTTCCAGAACATGAATGGGTTAAATTTTAATGTGTTATGAGGGAAGCCAGTACTGCAGAGCAATCTAGTCATCCCCCAATGAAAAGGAACACCACATTGCAACACAAAAGTCTCTGAACAGCCTGTACAGTCGTTCGTTGATATCACATCAATGCTAATTAAATAAAGTTGACACAACTTTTGTAAGAAGGTATGGAGAAAGATGTCTCAACTTGGGAAAACTTGCATAGTTTTCTTAAGTAACACTGAGTTTTAGGAAGCATGTAATTTATATAATGCTTACCAGTTCTACCAGGGAAAGGGAAAAATATGTGTATATACTCAAATGTGAAAGGGAAGTTAATCTACCTGAATGCTGCAGCAGTAGCATGTACTAAATGAGTAGTGTGAGAATAAAAAAACCACAAAATATTTGTACAAAGTAATTCAGTTTCCAAGGTAGAAAGATCCCTAGTGCCTGTGGTGGACAGAAATTCACTAAGATTACATACATTATTACAATAAT